CATGCGGTGACGCACTGGCGCTATGCATTGACAGTTGGCAGCGGTCCCTGGACTCTGGCAACGTGGTTGCTGTAGCATTCCTCGACCTCAGCAAAGCCTTTGACTGTGTCCTGCATGGCGAGCTCCTTCTCGAGCTGCAGCGCTGTGGAGTAGGAGGCACTGTTCTGCAATGGTTCTCCAGCTATCTGTCCAGCCGACCACAGCAAGTGAAATGCCTCCGTCAACCACCTGGAACCCCGTACACGGCCAATCGCGGTGTCCCTCAGGGCTCTGTCCTGGGACCGGCACTGTTCACGGTGTACACCAGGCGCCTACCAGCCTGCCTACAGTCATCCCTCTGCCTCCTGTATGCAGATGACACCAACATCTACGCTGCCGACCCGTCCCCTTCCACTGCCACACAGACCTTGGAACATGATCTGACCCGTGTGAGCAGCTTTCTGGAGGCCCATGGACTACAGCTGAACCCATCCAAGACGCAATTCCTGCTGCTACGGAAACCCAATGTACATGCAGACTGTGCCCTACAGTTTTGCAACAGCCGTATACAGCAATCGCAGCAAGCCAAGTACCTGGGCATCATCATAGATGAGCATCTGTCGTTTCAACAGCAAGTAAGTAACATTAGAAGTAAAGTTAATGCCAAGGTCAATGCATTTCGCCGTTGTCGCCACCTTCTCAGTGCTAGAGCCAAGCGAACTTTCTATCTTGCATTTGTCCAATCTACCCTGGAGTACGCGAGCAATGCGTACGTGCACTGCCTGCGACAGACCACCTATAACGCTCTTATTAGCATCGCGAATCGGGCGATCCGCACTGTCTTTGGCTTCCCTCCCTCTGCCTCCATCCAACCCATCTTAGCTAGACAGCACCTAACACCGTTAAATATTCGCTATGCTGCCAACCTCTATGTGTTTCTACATAGATGCATAAATGCTCGTGCTAGTCCCCTACTTTGCCGACTTTTCACTCCTCGTGCTGTCTCATCATCCCGCACTGCTAGAATTACCCGTTCTCAGGAATTGCTCGGCCTGGTACTGCCCCATGCCAGATTGTATTTTGGCTATCACTCTGTATCTTATCTTGGAGCTGACCGATGGAACGCCCTCCCTGCCGCGATTCGCACCATATCCCTACCTGCTGCATTTCGCTCCGCTATCTTCACGTGGCTAGGGCACCCTGTAAGAAGACCATAGGTCTGTGGGGACTGCCCTAGTAAAATATGAATAAATAATAATAATAATAATAAAGGTGGCTGCGACTTTAGAGCCGAATTTCCACCTTTTACAGAAATTTTCAGCCGATCCTGGCGATTTTTTCAGCCGATCGAAAAGCCGAATAGGCCAAAATAAATGGCCGATTTGGGAAAGGCCTAGATCCTGTGTCTCCATCACATATTATTCATTATAAAGATCATAACGTTATTACGAGCCGCGATGATGAGTAGGATCTCTTGCAGTCCCAATCCAGTTTCCGTTGAATAATTCTTGTAGTTGGAAGGCTGCGGCTTCGAATATACACAGTATACGTACACTAGTAACCATGTGTTAGGACCCAATTAATATTTGCTCAATTCAAATTGCGAATTTTGCAGCGTTTAAAGTAATTAGAGGTGTTTGGCTTTTCGAACTGGTCGAAGCATACACACACACAGCATCCAGCGATTGAGACTTTCGACTTGGTCTCTTTTCCTTCAAACTGCCTTGACAACTTTCGACTCTTGAACCCAGTGTATTTTCGCGGTGGAGCGGGTACTTCCCGTTACGGATATGATGCTGAATGTAGAGGGGAATGATCATGCATGGTCGAGCAACGCTACAAGAAACATGTCATAAGTCGCACTTTGCGACGAAATGAACCGACTGCAATCGAGCCATCCACATTCCACATGCCTAAATAAGGTTTTGAAGTTTCCGTGGTGGTGGTACGAATCCTCAGAAATAGATAATTTTCCTTGGAGACACAAATACCCATGATATTGATACTTGACTACTAGGCCACGACCAAATATGCTTGCGGATATTTCAGCATATTTTTGTGAGACAGTTCATTATGGCATATTGAGCGACAAAGGGAATATTGGAATGAAGCCAGCATATAATTCGAATATTCTGAAGAAAATGAGGACAAAACATTCATAGTATGGACAAAATGCGTTCAGAAATGCTTTTATGGCTGAATTTGGAATGGCACTGACATGTACCATGATGTACTATAGTAGGCAAGGGTCAAGCATATGCATAGCTGTACGATGTTTCCAGGTGTACGAGAACTGGAACACCCGAGTTTTGATTTGCACCATAAACATGATAGCCCTGAAGCCAATGAATATTCCAAGGTTGCAATGTTACTGAAATCATCTCCACTTTCTGCTTATGTCGAGCATATTTTGTCATATCTTTTTGCATATCTTGCTAAGCCTTTGGCATATTATGGACGTTTTCCCTGATATGCGACGAGCATAATATGCTCCGTTTCCAGCGCGACAAACACGAGCGACACTGACTCACACTGCTATCTGGTGTTCACGAGGTGTTAGTTAGTTGGTTTGGAGGTGACAGCGTTGCGATAGACCAAGGGTCCTTGACGTCTGTCTCACCGTCCAGGAGCGACACTGACTCACGCTGCTATCTGGTGTTCACGAGGTGTTTGTCGCGCTGGAAACGGAGCGTCTCTGTAAGTTTGTATCCCTGGTGATGTTTGTGCCTGGAGAGCACTATATAAGTGGTGCTCTTCAGGCACAATCTTCCTCAGCCTACTCAAGCTCAACTGATGAGGGGTGAATTCCCCGAAACACTGTGTATTGAGCAGGGAGTGGTGCTTTCTTGCAGGTTTGCCGAGTCGAAGGTTCGATGGACTTCTCGTGTTCTCTGGATGGCAGTCGTGAGTCAGTCAAGTGTCAAGTAAAGTCGTCGGAATAGCGCGAGCTCCGGTGTGGGGAGCAAACCCTTTCTTACAAATCATCGCCGAAGTCGCAACCACTACTTCGTACTGTTGTGCCCAGCGCGGGCTTGCGACTAGTTGGTTTGGAGGTGACAGCGTTGCGAATGACCGAGGGTCCTCGACGTCTGTCTCACCGTCCAGGAGCGACACTGACTCACGCTGCTATCTGGTGTTCACGAGGTGTTTGTCGCGCTGGAAACGGAGCGTCTCTGTAAGTTTGTATCCCTGGTGATGTTTGTGCCTGGAGAGCACTATATAAGTGGTGCTCTTCAGGCACAATCTTCCTCAGCCTACTCAAGCTCAACTGATGAGGGGTGAATTCCCCGAAACACTGTGTATTGAGCAGGGAGTGGTGCTTTCTTGCAGGTCTGCCGAGTCGAAGGTTCGATGGACTTCTCGTGTGCTCTGGATGGCAGTCGTGAGTCAGTCAAGTGTCAAGTAAAGTCGTCGGAATAGCGCGAGCTCCGGTGTGGGGAGCAAACCCTTTCTTACAAATCATCGCCGAAGTCGCAACCACTACTTCGTACTGCTGTGCCCAGCGCGGGCTTGCGACTAGTTGGTTTGGAGGTGACAGCGTTGCGAATGACCAAGGGTCCTTGACGTCTGTCTCACCGTCCAGGAGCGACACTGACTCACGCTGCTATCTGGTGTTCACGAGGTGTTTGTCGCGCTGGAAACGGAGCGTCTCTGTAAGTTTGTATCCCTGGTGATGTTTGTGCCTGGAGAGCACTATATAAGTGGTGCTCTTCAGGCACAATCTTCCTCAGCCTACTCAAGCTCAACTGATGAGGGGTGAATTCCCCGAAACACTGTGTATTGAGCAGGGAGTGGTGCTTTCTTGCAGGTTTGCCGAGTCGAAGGTTCGATGGACTTCTCATGTTCTCTGGATGGCAGTCGTGAGTCAGTCAAGTGTCAAGTAAAGTCGTCGGAATAGCGCGAGCTCCGGTGTGGGGAGCAAACCCTTTCTTACAAATCATCGCCGAAGTCGCAACCACTACTTCGTACTGTTGTGCCCAGCGCGGGCTTGCGACTAGTTGGTTTGGAGGTGACAGCGTTGCGAATGACCGAGGGTCCTCGACGTCTGTCTCACCGTCCAGGAGCGACACTGACTCACGCTGCTATCTGGTGTTCACGAGGTGTTTGCCGCGCTGGAAACGGAGCGTCTCTGTAAGTTTGTATCCCTGGTGATGTTTGTGCCTGGAGAGCACTATATAAGTGGTGCTCTTCAGGCACAATCTTCCTCAGCCTACTCAAGCTCAACTGATGAGGGGTGAATTCCCCGAAACACTGTGTATTGAGCAGGGAGTGGTGCTTTCTTGCAGGTCTGCCGAGTCGAAGGTTCGATGGACTTCTCGTGTGCTCTGGATGGCAGTCGTGAGTCAGTCAAGTGTCAAGTAAAGTCGTCGGAATAGCGCGAGCTCCGGCGTGGGGAGCAAACCCTTTCTTACAAATCATCGCCGAAGTCGCAACCACTACTTCGTACTGCTGTGCCCAGCGCGGGCTTGCGACTAGTTGGTTTGGAGGTGACAGCGTTGCGAATGACCAAGGGTCCTTGACGTCTGTCTCACCGTCCAGGAGCGACACTGACTCACGCTGCTATCTGGTGTTCACGAGGTGTTTGTCGCGCTGGAAACGGAGCGTCTCTGTATCCCTGGTGATGTTTGTGCCTGGAGAGCACTATATAAGTGGTGCTCTTCAGGCACAATCTTCCTCAGCCTACTCAAGCTCAACTGATGAGGGGTGAATTCCCCGAAACACTGTGTATTGAGCAGGGAGTGGTGCTTTCTTGCAGGGTTGCCGAGTCGAAGATTCGATGGACTTCTCGTGTGCTCTGGATGGCAGTCGTGAGTCAGTCAAGTGTCAAGTAAAGTCGGCGGAATAGCGCGAGCTCAGGTGTGGGGAGCAAACCCTTTCTTACAAGTCATCGCCGAAGTCGCAACCACTAGTTCGTTTCTTCAAATGACGAAAAAATTTGGTCGTTAAATCGTTAGACTTTCTGACTCGTTAGACTTTCCGGTTTTACAGTAACTCTTTCAAATCTCCAAGCTGCTGTCATATAAAATAGATATAATCCAACCGATTTCATAATTTGAACAAACGGCGAGGAGACAATTTGATAATCGCAATCAATAATACAAGCTGAATCGACATTTGTGTACACTTTATTCATGCAATGTAAAACTGTGGAGACAATGTGCAATAAATTTGAATAAAACGATGAAAATGTGAAGAAATGGTGTAGAGAAAATGTGACAATTTGATAACCGCAATCACTAATACAAGCTGAATCGACATTTGTGTACACTTTATTCATACAATGTAAAACTGTGGAGACAATGTGCAATAAATTTGAATAAAACGATGAAAATGTGAAGAAATGGTGTAGAGAAAATGTTTTCTCTACACCATTTCTTCACATTTTCATCGTTTTAAATAAAATTTGTACGCTCGGTCAACTTCTAACCGGTGAAAACACTATGAGGGATACTAGTTGATGAATTTCAGATGCCCTTCACAAGGTTCTCAAGTTGCAACATGAGCAATTTCTCACTGCTGAACGCAGCGATGGAAAACACCACCGTCCAGAGCAAATACATTATACCCAGAAATGAAAGTGAGTACTGAAACCCAACTGCTGCAGTTATAGGGCTGCCTAATAGCGGTCCTGCACAGTAGCCTAGCGACATTGATGCTTGATAGAGGCCACCGGTTATTGCACGCAGTTCACCAGGAGTCCCTAAACCATTGGCATGCAGCGTATTTGCAATATCTGGTGAAGCTGAGACCAGGGAAAGTCCGCTGCCGATTCCAAACAACACAAATGCAACGTAGGAGAGCGCAAGCGATTTTGGCAGTGGCAGAAACGGAGCCGGCCCCACTAACTGACAGCCGATTCCACACGACAATAGACCGAGTGCTTGCAGCATCCTGGGATTGAGCCAGCTGTCTATCCAGTATCCCATCACCAGCGACACACCACTGTAGAATATACTGAATACGAAAAATCCAATTCCAGCATACGTGGTGGACAAGTTGAAAGAAGTTCTTAGGTAGACTGAGAATACTGGCTCAACATAGCCCATGATAATGTTGGCAAGAAAGGTGCTCACAAGGATCATCCACACCCAGGGTACAGATAGTACCTGAGTAAAACTTATGTTACTCTTCAGCCGTACCGACGACAGCCCAGCCTCAGTGGACGGCAAAACGATGACAACAAGAACACAGGCCACGGCTACGATTGCACTGAACACGTAGAATGGCACGGCAAATCCAGCCACATCGTACAGAACTCCGCCAATTGCAGGACCCATTGCGTAACCAACGCCATTCGCACACCGCAGCACACCATTCACAAGGCCTTTCGACTCTGGAAACGCACCGACGAGTATTGAAAATGAAGACACAAAATATGCTGCCGTTGAAATGCCTTGGACTAAACGTATTGAGATGCATACCACCAGGAAAATACCCCACGACTCAATTTTATTGACAAAACTAAACAGAAATACCATCGCACTAACTTCAAAAGTACTCAGGACCAACATCAACTTACTTCCAACATTCACCAAGTCCTTGGCTAAGATAGGAGCAGCAAGAAATTCCGCAAAAGTTGCTATACTGAATATCACGCCAATGGCGAAGTGGTTCGCCAAATTTCCACTGGGGACTTTTCTTAACGCCTCGCCTCCAAAGAACGGCATCATCAGGCTGATTGCAGCTGCTACAACCATGCTATTCAGTGCTATGCAAAACAAGATTAAGTTGCTTCGAATACGTGAGGTTTTGCTTGATTTAGCGCTATCAAGATGCTGCAGCGGCGGCCTTGTTGGATCGTCAGGGAGGTTCGAATCAAGCAATAGTGGCCGCTGATCATCAATCGCTGGCACAGTGCCTGTGGCCCACGCAGCGTGACCTTCCAAATCCGTCTCCTTCCCCATACTCCCATGCGAGCTTCTATACAAAGTAACTCATCGTGACTCTCCGCACTTTTTCCGGGCCAGGAATTCTCACGTATGGCACGGTAGAGGTCTAGTTCATTTTTTACTGCCTTGTCGTGGTCACACAGATTACGCGGAAGCAGTATTCACATCTGCAGCTACTACCAGTAGGTAACTAATCACTCGACTCTCCTTCTCAAATCTACTTGATGTAAATAAATCCTTGACTGAAAAGACTTCAAGAAGTCGGTGCTGCATGCGCAGTACTACAATCATGTCACTATACTGTAGACCTTCGAACCTTTATTATCATGTGTGCTGCTAGCGACGCTTTCTCTGATCCGACAGCGGCACGATCAATCATGATGGAATCAGGATGACATGCGACATGATCAAATCAGGAAGATGACCTACCCCTAAACCATTTTTTTTGTAAACTCACTGGCCTGGCCGGGTCTAGGACTAGGGCCCTGGAACATGGCCAGGCTAGAGTAGTACTGCCATGGGCAATGAGTCAATGACTGTATGTCACTGTCAGAGAGTCGTTAACAGTTCCCCCTTGGAAAGAAATCACAACCAGACGCGTGGTAGATGCCAGTAGCACTATTTTTGTTGCAGTATGTGTGACTCGTGCGATCTCATGGAACATTGTTGATTAGGAGCTCTCTGCAGTCTGCACAGCCTAGCCTGTCAGGCCTGCCATGACCATGATGACGAAAGTGCGGAATTTGTGGTGCAGCTGGTGCGCTCACTGCAACTGCAAGCAAGAGCATACTCATTTTATGGTTTATGTACTCTTGATTGATTGATTGATTTTATTTTACTTCGCAAAGTTCAAACGGGTTCCTGGCCCAGTTATATGAAAGTGAAGGATAGAATTTGCCACAATCCTAATGAGCAACAGCATAGGCAATATTATCATAGAAGTGGAGTACTATGCGAGCGAGAATACTGAGAAGAAAGGAACATGTCAAAACCTGACGAAACACAACCTATTCCAGGCATACATAAGGAAGGCAGGCTAGCTTAAAATCTTGCAATCTGGATACGGTGCGCACCTCTCTAGGCAAGCTGTTCCACAGCAATGCTCCTGCGGTGGCGAATCTCGTTTGGCCACACCGACTGCGAGCTGGCTGGCTGAGCAGACCATTGGCATGCTGATGGCGCGTACTTCTGCCGCTGCATGCTGCTGGTTTGAGAAGCTGGGCTAGAGCAAGGCTAGTGGAGTCATTTAGACACCGCCAGATGAAGATCAGGAGCTTTTGTTTAAAAAGTTCAGTGACGCGGTAAATCGAGTTGGCAGCCAGGAGGGGCTGCATCGCGGAACATGGCGGGCTGCCATCAATGCATCGGATCGCCCGGTTTTGCATGGCTTGTAGACGCTGAAGTAAGTTGGGTCACGCGGAGGGCTGCAGAGAAACAGCAGGCACCATATATCATCTCCGGCATGACAATAGCCTTTACATAATTATAATCTTGCGCGAGTTGCGGGAGAGGCATCGACGGGCTCGCCACAAGGCGCCAATCTTCCTCGCAACTTTGGTCACTATGGCGCTGACGTGTACATCCCAACTCAGGCGGTTGTCAAGAAAGTCACCAAGATACCGCGCAGACTTCACTATCGGTAGAGAGGTATCGCAACACACGATAGAGACCTCAGGCCCGGCATGTTGCGGTGAGATAGTCATTACCTGGCTTTTGGAGGCATTTAAAATTAGGCCGCGTGACTTAATTAAGCCATTATGGCGAGATCAGTGACAGCTGAATCTCTCCCTCTCTCGCCTCTTGGCTTGCGACAAGTACAGTAGTTAAGTAAAAGCACAAGACACAAGTACGCATGGTCTTCCCTTTTTGTTTGTCACAAGTACGTACTTAAGTTGAGAATGGACATGATCAATGCTACCATTGTGGTACTACATGGATGCAGGCAAGCAGATTTCGTCACCCTATCGCCACCGTGTTTTAGCGGCCAGCGGCCGTCGTGAGTTCCCTTCGGGAACGGACACGATAATTCGATTTTAGTCTTTTTTTATTTCGCCACCGTCCTTATCGGACAATGAGTATTTTAAATAAGATCGGCAGCACTGTAGAGGCGGAGGAGTCGCCGTGTATGTTCACTCATCCATCCCACACAAACACAAAACAAACATCACGATGAGCAACTTCGAATCACTCTGGCTCGAACTTGACCCACCGAATGTATCACTTACAGTCGGATGCTCCTACCGTCCTCCAAACACAGATCCGTACACATTCTGCCAACAACTGGAGCCCTGTCTAGGTCTCTGCAACATGAACTCTCCGTTTCTATTGGTAGGAGATATGAACGCAAAGCACACCTCATGGCTTCCCACTGATATCACTGATAGAGCTGGCGACCTGCTGAGCTACCTACTAGACACTGCAGGATTAAACCAGCACGTGTCTTTTCCGACCTGTATTTCCAGAGGCAACTTGAAGTCCTGCCTCGACGTTGTCATCTCCAACGTACCAGAAGAAGACCTATCTGTCACATCGTATCCCCCTGTCGGAGCGTCAGATCATGTACTCGTCGGAGGACATGTGTCCCTTGCATGCCCACCACAAGCACCAACACCCCAGCAAAACGTCGAAGCTTGGCGCTGGAACTGGGACCCTGATCGCGTCGTCGCACTGAAAGAAGCCCTGAGCTCAATGCAGCTTTTGCCACCAGCTGAGGAAATCCCGCAGTTATCAATGACAGACCTCTGGTCGCATTGGCATGACTCGCTTATCAACACAGCACACTTGTACTGTACTAACTTCGCACCACGACGTACACACCAGACATGCCCAGGTCGGCGACCATGGATGACTCAACAGCTTCTTTGCAGCATTAAACTCAAGCATCAGCTCTACCGTCAGTATCTCAGAAATCGCAGCGCGGAGAACTGGCTCACATTCGTTACTCAACGCAATAGGACCACAACACTACTGAGAGAAGCTAAATCCGCCTTCGTATCCACTACCGCGCAAGGCGACGTAACTGGTGTCCCACAGCGAAACCTGTACAAGTTAATGAAATCACTGCGGTCGTCCCCGAAAAAGGAGCTTCCACCTATTTCAGCGAACGAAACAGTGGCTAGATCAGATGGAGAAAAGGCGGAAGCGTTTAACAATTTTTTCATTTCGGAAAGCCAGAAGTCCGTCTCCGGACCAACTGAAGCCGTGCCAGAGATTGGCGTGTCGCGCATCATCGGAAGCGAACTGAAGGAAATCATCACCACCCAGGAGGAGGTCAGAAAACTCCTTTCCGCTCTTGATTTCCAGAAGTCGGCTGGGTACGATGGCATCCCGACGAAATTGCTCAAGATCACTGCAGACGAAATATCGTGCTCCCTCGCAACACTTTTCAACGAGTCTTTCTCGCGAGGCGAGCAGCCACAGGACTGGCGCGACGCCACTATCAGTCCTCTACACAAGAAAGCCTCTCGTGCAGAGGTCACCAATTATAGACCAATCTCGCTCCTAAGCGTTGTCAGCAAGGTTCAGGAGAGGATTGTTCACCAACGCCTCTACACCCACATTGAGCCCCACCTACCGGCCGACCAATCTGGATTTCGATCTAAGGATAGTACTGAACTACAGCTCTCCCGCCTAGTGCATGAGATTTCCGCCAGCCGAGATTCCGGTCAGGCAGTGTCAGCATGCTTCTTTGACTTATCAAAGGCTTTTGACCGAGTCTGGCATGCTGGCCTCCTGGCCAAACTCGAGCACCTTGGTGTCCGTGGCATTGCCCTTACCTGGCTCACAAGCTACCTGACTCGCCGCCGACAACGCGTCAAGGTTGGCTCCGCTTTGTCATCATGGAAATCCATTCCAGCTGGAGTACCCCAGGGCTCTGTCCTGGGGCCTCTTCTTTTCCTGGTGTACACGATCGACCTCCCCCCAGCATGCACAAACTCTCACACTAAATGCAGCCAGTTCGCCGATGACACGGCACTCATCGCGACGCATTACACAAGGGATTTGTCAGCTGCATTCCTCCAACGTGCCGTGGACGCAGCAGGACGATGGTTGAAGGATTGGCATCTCCTCGTCAACACCACGAAAACCGTCGTCCTTTCCTTCCAACCCCAACACACCATCCACATCACGCTCCACTCGACTCGGCTGCAGCAGGTCCACCAACATAGGCACCTTGGTGTTACACTCCAAGACGATTTGCGATGGACCCAACACATCATAGAAACCACCAACAAAGCCAAAAAACTACTACACCAACTCCACAAGACACGTGGCACAATGAACGCTTCCAGCCTATTGTTAATATACACAACCTACATCCGACCCGTTCTCGAATATGGCAGCCTTGCCCTCTCGAACACCACACAGCAACAGCGGGACACACTGGAGAGAATTCAACGCCGTGCTATACGCATCTGCCTTCGGATTCCCCTCATTGCACCAGTTCACCACAGCTCCCTCCTCCATCACGCAAAGCTCCCCACCCTTAGCTCACGACTCCTTGTTAAACAAGCCCTACTAGCATGGGACATCCACCACCAAACCTCCCCACCACACCTGCAACAACCACATCTTGCACCACAACGTCAACACCAACCATACACCCTTCGACAGACAAGGACCTACTCCATCGGACACGCACACACGAACAGGCACCGAGACTCCCCCATCAACAGTGCTCTCACCCTCTACAACTCACTCCCTATCGACATCACAACCCAACCTCGTAGAAATTCTTTCCGAAACAATGCATCCAGTCTTCTTTTGAGCAGTACCTGCTCCTGCTCCGCGCATCCCCCTGGTTTCTGATATCTCGAACGTGTACTTAACTATCTCGATCACCCCTGCTAACATTATTGCCCCCGCTTGTTTTTCATGATCCATTGCTTCTTGCCTCCCGGTTAATTTCCATCTAGCTGTTTCTGGCTAGTACCAGTTCTATCGTACTTATTAATCATCCTTATTGGCGTCACGCCATCGTGGAATAAAAGAATATATAAATAATCGACGTGGAGACATCAATTTTATAATAGCTATAAAGAGAACAAATTCTGCTGTCATCGCCACACTACAACAAAGTCATGAAGGTTTACCAAAATCGATTTTCTTGTCACAATCATCAGTGGAAAGCCGTGACTGAAGAGTAACCATGCTGAATCGATGATTAATATACATTCAATAATGTGTTACGAGAACAAAACAAAGTGCTAAAAT